GTGTGTGTGTGTGTGTGTGTGTGTTCGTTACTGTGTGTGTGTGTGTGTGTGTGCGTGTGCTGCTCCCGTGTCGCTTCCTCCCACCACCACCTCCCCCTGTTGAGGTGCCTTTTGGCTCAGCTTGGGAGATAGGGGGTTCTAGACGTTTGGGGTGGTGGTGTGTGTGGTAGGGGTTTGGGGGGGAGAGAGAGGGAGAGAGAGAGAGAGAGAGAGAGAGAGACTGGCAGAAAGAGAGAGACTGACAAAAAGAGATAGAATGACAGAAAGAGAGAGACGAACAGAAAGAGAGAGAGAGAAAGAGAGAGAGGAAAAAGATAAAGAAAGAGAGAAAAATAAACAGAGAGAGAGCGAGAGACAGAGAGAAAGAGAGAGGGTGTGTGTGTGTGTGAGAGAGAGAGAGAGAGAGAGAGAGAGAGAGAGAGGCGACCATAAAGTCGACACAGCACCAGCTGTCGTACAAAGCCTAGCATTGTGTCCCTTAATCAGGGGAGATCAGTGGTGTTCAAAAAACCTTTCTGGAATACAGTAATACAATAGTCTATTGTTGAGAGCCAAATGCTTCTAATTAATCTATCTGCCTCTGTGATGTTGTGCAGAATGACAGAAATTGCGCAGTGGGTGGTTTGGGGGTGCTCTGGTGTCGTTTACCTCTTTCGTATCAAATTACTATTTATTGTCTTAATGTCCTTATCATATCTCTTCATCCTTTTCTTTGTATGTTACTATTGGTACTCTTTAGTAACGCCTATAATTGTGGGCAATTGTGGGATTTATTTGTGTTGTAAGTGCTGCAAAACTCTTACTAAAAACAACAATAACAACAAAGTTTATATGAAATCAGATTTTTAAAGAAAATCTATTGTGCGGTTTTGCAGTAAGGTGACACCATAACTTGTCGACACCTGCTAGCTAACTTCTCTCTCTCTCTCTCTCTCTCTCTCTCTCTCTCTCTCTCTCTCTCTCTCTCTCTCTCTCTCTACGTCATGTTGTGTCATGCGCAGTCACGCGCGCGTTCCGGTTGGGTTATCGTCTTTGTGGCGCACACTAATGTCTCTGTTTGTCTGTTTATCTCACCACTTGGCTTAGTTTGGTCTCTCCCAAGGAGGTTATTATGTTATACAGTTAGGTTGTTATAAGATCCTTGGCCTCTCCCAAGGAGGTTATGTTATACAGTAAGGTTGTTGGAAGATCCTTGGTATCTCCCCTATTGGTCTTCTGGCTATAAGTCTTATTTATTGGACAGGGCTTTGAAAAGGCCTGGTTGGGTCTTCCGTATTCGTCTTTTGTGCGTATATAATATTAATATTATTGATATATATAATATATATCATTATTTTTGGGACAAAAGGGGGCGGGGAAGGATTCATGTAGGTGTTTTCGGAAGCGGTAGTGTTTGTTTGCAATTGATCTTAGTTCTGATCTGAGCTGTTCAAAAGTTTTTCG